TTTTCCCGCGAAGAAGTTATTCAAATTCTGGAAAAGAAGTAGTCTGGTGAGTAGGGTGGATATTGGAGAGCTTCCAACCCCAGTTCTTGTAACTTGGAGACCATCTGTTGTGCAGCTTTAGGTCGCGCGTTGTAATGCAGGAGCAATGGAGATGAGCGATTGACCAGTGCTGGTTGGAGATGTGTCAGCTTCTCCATCATTGTGTTCAGTTCTTCACATTACACATCCGCAGTAATGCTCACTCCGTTTGGTAAGAACCTGTGATGAATCAGACTGGCGCTAGACCATCAGTGACCATCACTTTTCTAGGAGTAAGTTTTCGTTTCGGGTATTGTTTAGGTGCTGAACTAACTACTACTACAACTATGTTGAGCAGTGCAAGGCACTGCTCGATGCATACTTAGCTCTGGCGATCATTGAGTTTGTGGGACACCCACTTGTCAAGTTTTTTTACCTTGCCAATTTGACGTAAATGGACCAATATTGTTTTGATGCTAACGTCGAAAGCTGTTGCTAAATCAGCCGTAGATTGTATGTCATCAGCTTCCACAATAGCCTATTGTCACCAAAGTCTTCGGACGACCGCGAGGTTGATCTTGAAATTAAAGTACTTAGGATTCAATTTCGATGAGCGTTTTACGTAAACACTGGCGGTGAGTGCGCGTCCCGTCTGTCTTCGACGCATTCTGGAGTGACTGAAGCGCCAGCGCACGATAGTCCAGTTGGATGATCACGATTTTTAACACCCGGGCGATGAAATAAATATAGTATCATATGACATGATTGAAATGTACCATATTAAAATTTAGTGATTTAAAGACCGATTCATATTTTTATGAATACTGGCAAAATGTTTCAATATCCATTATTAATGTTATCATCTGTATAAAACGACATGCATTTTAAAAAAAAATATTTGAACGGGGTAAATTGCATTGAAATTTAAATAAAAATATCTAGTTGCTGATGCTAATTCCAAATAAAGCGGACCTTTAATTACAAAGATAAATGTCGCTTAATACAATCTGCCCTTTTTTAGAGTCAGGAAAAATGATTTAAGTGACTTCATAACTACAATTGGCTACAAGGGAAAAAAATTAAGCGACGATGCACTCTATTTACAGAGTAAGCCAAAAAGTATGAAGTAACGAAACCCAAAATAAATAGAAGCAAGCTATTTATCTCAACTACCAATTTAGACTAAAATGAGTAACAGGCTAATTTACTTATGTGACATATAACATTGAAATTGTATCGTTAAATGTTTATGTTTATTTACATCTAAGACGATTAATGGCTGATAAAACAACCTGGATATATCGAAACAACCGAAAATCTCAGGTGCTTACATCGGATAAATAAACACAACACAATATCAAAGTATTTATTTAGATTAATAATAACAGTCTGCATAGGAACAACGATTATATTATTATTTATTCAGCAAAATCAGATAAATTAATGGGTTATTTACTGAAATTGCCGTTTTGTATGAAAAAATTTAAACGATTTTTTTCATGTATTTTTTATTTGTATTTATCGAAGTAATCACCCATGTAATCAATGCATCGTTGCCAACGCAGTGGCAGTTTATTGGGCATCAATAAACTGCCACAAAATACTTCTTAAACAAATCAGCTGGACGGGTGGCAACAAATTCTTTAAATGCATTTTGTACTGCCTCTCGGGTAATGAATTTTTTTCCCGCGAAGAAGTTATTCAAATTCTGGAAAAGAAGTAGTCTGGTGAGTAGGGTGGATATTGGAGAGCTTCCAACCCCAGTTCTTGTAACTTGGAGACCATCTGTTGTGCAGCTTTAGGTCGCGCGTTGTAATGCAGGAGCAATGGAGATGAGCGATTGACCAGTGCTGGTTGGAGATGTGTCAGCTTCTCCATCATTGTGTTCAGTTCTTCACATTACACATCCGCAGTAATGCTCACTCCGTTTGGTAAGAACCTGTGATGAATCAGACTGGCGCTAGACCATCAGTGACCATCACTTTTCTAGGAGTAAGTTTTCGTTTCGGGTATTGTTTAGGTGCTGAACTAACTACTACTACAACTATGTTGAGCAGTGCAAGGCACTGCTCGATGCATACTTAGCTCTGGCGATCATTGAGTTTGTGGGACACCCACTTGTCAAGTTTTTTTACCTTGCCAATTTGACGTAAATGGACCAATATTGTTTTGATGCTAACGTCGAAAGCTGTTGCTAAATCAGCCGTAGATTGTATGTCATCAGCTTCCACAATAGCCTATTGTCACCAAAGTCTTCGGACGACCGCGAGGTTGATCTTGAAATTAAAGTACTTAGGATTCAATTTCGATGAGCGTTTTACGTAAACACTGGCGGTGAGTGCGCGTCCCGTCTGTCTTCGACGCATTCTGGAGTGACTGAAGCGCCAGCGCACGATAGTCCAGTTGGATGATCACGATTTTTAACACCCGGGCGATGAAATAAATATAGTATCATATGACATGATTGAAATGTACCATATTAAAATTTAGTGATTTAAAGACCGATTCATATTTTTATGAATACTGGCAAAATGTTTCAATATCCATTATTAATGTTATCATCTGTATAAAACGACATGCATTTTAAAAAAAAGGAGGGCTAAATGATTTATGACTAAACAAAATATCTGAACGAAAACGACTATTTGGTTTAAGTAGCACCCTGCGTGGAAAATAAAAGCAGCTAGAAGTGTTTAAGAGACGAACCATGTCGTATTTGGGTGACGGATAAATGTTTTAAGCGACAACACACCGTGTGATTAGTGGGAAGTCAAAATGATTCAAGTTACTTGCTAGTAAAAATTAGAAACAGGAAAAACGCTTTAACTCATTTTGACTTATTAATTAGAGATAGGGTGACTGGTTTATGTCTCGGTTATTAATATGATGGTATGGTTCAAGTACATAATTTAATAAAAAATGCGAAATCCATGTCGTTTAATACACTGTCACTTTGGAAACAACACGAAAATAGAATTGTTTGAAACGCCAAAAAAGTGCTCCGATTTTAATGAAACCGTTATCATTCGACGGAGAAAAATTCGCTGATTCCGAATATATATATAACTCAATATCGCCCAAAATGTCGCTTAAACCAAATAGCCCGTTACCCCTCGATATAATACAACTACTTACTTCACATCACATTTAACTTAAGTTATAGTTAAACCACAAAATAATCAAAATTCAATGTAGGCATCCAACTTCAATTTCCCAAAACAAATAAATAATAATATTTCAGCAAACTAAATTAAATAAAACTTTATAATCGATTGTAATTCCGATAAATCAGTAATGTTCATTAATGTGCGAATTGGTTCGGTACATAGAGAGCGTCAATTAGTGCATCTCTATGTATGTATTCATGGGCTCAATCAAGCAGCAACCGACGTCGCGGTGTCGCGGCACAGCGGCGCTCATTAGCCACGACGTCATGTGATGGCTATCACATGATACTCTAAACTTGTGATAATATATGCTAACACATATTCACAAACAGGTAAGGACTATTTTCATTTTGATAGACGAAAAGTACATCCACTAATCCATAGTTATGTAATGTTATAAATTGAAAGTCAACAAATAAATATCAGTCTTATAATAATTTGTCTCCAAACTCAAACTCAAAAGTATTTATTTAAATTAATAAACCATAATTTGAAAAGTTAACAAATATAAAATAAATAATAGTCTGTCCGTCAGTGAAGCTAGGCTCCAATAAGAATAGGTTGTGATCATACTGTTCTCTCTAACTGATACAATTTTTTATTTGTATGTCTATGCTATTTAAAACCTATACAGTGATAAGTTCAATGTTCCATAGCATTGTTAGTTGTGTAAACACTGCACTACATTTACTTCGTAGACAGGTGGTCGAGACAATCTACCTGTTGATCCAACTCAGATGAGAACACTCAGACAAGTCTGTGTGTAAAATAAAAGTTGGAATTACCAAACATTAATTTTACTGAACACATTAACATAAAAATCACTCCAAACATAAACTAAATTAATGAACAACAAACAGTAGTCAACAGCCTATAGTTACTGCACAATTATTCAGTTCATGATTAAACAATCTTTGTAATTTCAGTTGTAGCAATAAAAATGGAACAAATCTCTAAGTAAAAAAAATAATTAATTCCAATTGTACTTAATAGTTTGTTTCCGCATTATTGTCATTATGTTTTTTGTAGAAAGGAGACTTTATATTTTAGAGCTTAATAGTATGTAAAATTTCTTTAGATTAACACTAGGGATAGCTTGGTAAATATTTTGAATAAATTGGATCCAATCTAATAAGTTAACACTTCTTTATTTAAAACATTCAATCACTTGTCTGTTATTTGTATGTACACCAGAGGTAGCATGTCAGTCAGACATAATGTTAAATTAATAATGATTCCACAGACACTTGAAACAAATCATGATTGTATGAAATGTTACAGACGACCTTGCATGTGCTCAGTGTGGGGCTAGACCTAGGACAATGACCAAGGTCAACATAACCTCTGTGGTAACTGGGATTGTCTATTGTAATTTTTCATAGACAAGGCTTACAGTTCTGTTTTCACAGCATTGTAATTAAGTTATAATACTCATTAAGATCATAATTCCCAGTTGTTTGGTGTAAAAAGTCCAAGATTAAGATACTAAGATAAAGAATGTGTTACAGATCCTCGTGAATCATCTTTATCTAGCACTCATAAATATCACTTGACTGCCGAGATATAACTTCTAGTTCACATTACAATCGTGTATCTATTTACAAATCTCATACGAATCCTCACGTTAGTCACACATTTTCTGAAAACATTCCATGATTCAATCATTCGCGACCCGACTCGAACCTGTCAAACGTTGAAGATTTACCGATACGGTCGTTATCAACGCGAATCAAAACAAACATACTAACAGGAAACGTCAATCTAACCCTGACGATGACCCTCGCTAATTAAATGGACATGCAAGTGTTTCCTCACCTTGCCGAGCTTCTCCACCGGCACCATAGACGGCGGAGGCTTCTCCTTAGCCTCCGCTAGGCCTTGCAAGTCACCACCAGAACCGGAACGAGAGCCAGCACCTCGTTGGGAACCTCGCGGCGTGCTAGTTCCACTACCTGATTGATCTCCCCCGCCCTTTGTATCATGGCTGTGGTGGTTTCCCATCGCCTCCGCACTACACTAACACCTTAATTACGTAATTTGAGCAGGAACAGACCCTACAAACACAACAATTTGCGTGTTATTAACGCTGGTTTGGTCCAATGATCACACGAACTAACGTCATACGCGTGACAGACAACTGACTGACGTCAGTCAGTTGTCAATGTCAAGTTAGCACGTTCCGATACACTCACAGTGAGTTATTGCAGCTCGTATAGTGGAGAGCGGACGAAAATAGAATGTTTTATTACAGGAAATTCGTTCGTATTATATTATCATGTTTATAATAAAAATGAATTTCTCTCGCTGATCATTTTCTTTATGAGGTAGTGATAAATTAATGAGATTAATATCAACATTTTAAACAGTATACAGTTTTTAGAGATAAGTTTAGTATTAAAATAAAACACGGTTTTTGTATATTCGAGGTATATTTTATCCACTGAGGTTTATTTTATCCATTGATTCAATAGTTAATGTTCACTGGATGTACTACAGCCAAACGCCCACCTACTACCTATATAAGCTATGCCTAGATTGCGTCTAATAATAAGATTAACATCATTTGCTGTTACTTACTTTAACAACTAGAACATGAAGGCAGACAATTTACATTTAATTACGATAAAAATTAAAACAATATCACAGATGAGATGACCCATAGTCATTGCTGCCTACAGTACGCAATACTTAAAAACTAGTTGTTATACAATGTTTTAATCGTCCACAGGGACTTACACTCTCAACTTTCTAAAGTTCTTGTAGTTTACATGGCCAAGGATTGAAGAAACCTCATAGCTGGCAGTTCGACGAGTAAGTGCAAAGGTATAGCAGCGCAGTAACTCAGGAATATTGTGCCTAGCCAGTGGCACCCCTGTAACATCGAAATATTTCTTAGCATTGCATACGCCTGGTGGTACGCTACGTACGAGTGCGTGTACCTCAATTTTATTTCAGTTATAGTTAGTAAGTTTAATTCTAGAAGTATACAAGGTTTAGTTTTGAAACCGTGACATTTCTCAGGGGCATGTTACAGAAGTCATACAGGTTCAATGTAAGAGAAAGTTTCAGGCCAATAGTTAAAAATACGGCTGTAATAAATCGTTTAAGTTCGACAGTATTTCAGAATAAGCGACAGCAATGTTTCTTATTGTAGTTTTATGGAATTAGGAATAATATCAATTACGTGTTTGAGTTTGTGTGTGTTAAGCGCGCCTAGTTACAAGACGGCGGCGTGTAGTTCGCACTTACGGATTTCCGTAATTTGCAGGAAAATGAAAAATATTTACCTACAATTTTTTTATTGATTCGGACTCAGAATCGAGATCCTAGTTATCTATTAGAAAATGACGCGGCTTTAAAACAGCACCTTGTATTGATACTTTGCATTTGGCATAGATCAGTTTGAGTGAGTAAAATGTTAGTCTTGTGTGGATGGTGTGAATGAGACTAGAATAAGTTTACTTACAATATCAAAAACAGCAGCTCTGTTAGTGTTGGTGCGCTGTGCTAATAGCATGAGGGCGATGAGCCAGTGAATGAGGTAGATGGACAGAGACATACGTCCCAAGATCTCCCAACCGCGCCACGATAGGAACTTCCACCAGACACCTGTAAACAAGAACCACTTGAAGTTCTCTTAAATCAAGAGTACATAGTAGGTAGGTAGTAGGTAGTGTACCTAAACAATTTAGTTTTCGGCATGACAGTTTTTACAGTCTACAAAATATCGAAACCAGAATCAGTAAAGTCTGATGTCGTACTTACTATCAATTTTGTTAATAAATCCGTACATTGCAAAGGCAGTCAGGGTCACGAAAACCGGCCTGTCTATAGTCGCGTACAGAGGTACTATCAAGGGATGGGTCACACCTTTCATCCAGTAACCTCCAACGACCCACAAAAACATGCATGGGACCGACAGACGATATAATATTCTTATACACTGGAAAATAAAAAGCAACTCTTTAATTTTTGATTACAGTTGATTGCATAAATATCAAATCTATTTTCTGTCTCCTATCGTCTACTTACCCTACTCTGTGCAGGTTGGTATCCGTCTTCCTGATGACAGTAATGTAAGAAGGCCGCCAGTAGCCCGATTAGTGCTGAAGGTAGGCTGTCCCAAGGTGCGGAGTACAGCCAAGTAAACGAACGCTCTCTGGGGAACTGTGTCCTCATCAACCTGAAGGCACGAGTGAGAAACTGATTGTGGTCTTTGTTACGTGTTGTTACATCAGTTTACTAAGATCAACAAATGTCAATAGAATAACTATTTTGGAAATGACTTCTTTGAGAGAACATAAAGCATCTAGCTAGCAAGATTTTTAAGGTTTTTACTTACTCTGGAATCATAAGCAGTACCATTGGCTTCAGTTTCCAGTTGTATATTATCGCAAAATTCATCAACATTGATCCGAAAATACAGACAGCCAGGATCTTGACTGCCACTCGTGGCCGCCTACCCAGCAGCAGTGTGAATACTGCACAAATGATGTACAGTTGCATGTCTACGGCGAGAAACCTAAAGAAAACATACCACAAATAATAAATGTAGGTAGAAAGTAGGTATGCCTCAGGGCTCTGCGTTAGGCCCATCCTCGAATTTATCAAGATTGACCTTAGATGGAACTTTTTTAAACAGATCATTATTCATTTTCATGGCCAAATGCCAGAATACTAGAATCGGTGAGAGTTATTGACGTGGCTGCTACCGTCGTAAATTATGTAAAAAGTTAGCCAGACCTCATACAAACATATTGTAAATTGCCATGACCATTGGCTCAGTTGGTGAATGTAGTCAGTACATCATGATAACATCGAGATATAAACATAATCAATTATTACGGTAAGGGAAATGCTCAGCGATGCAACACCAACATGCGACGTTAACGCATAGTTACATATTTCAACTTGAAGGTAAACATCACCATTGTAGTGACGATTTATATAAAAATAAAATCAGAATTATTACTATCCGGAAAAATAAAATACTTTCATATGGAACTCACCACGTGTGTATGAGACACCTGTCTTCTGGTTTTATAAAGTTGTTGACAAACAGTACTTGGGCCCACCATTTGTCTCTGCAGTGGGCCGCCTCATCTCTCACCATTGGGGTCCAAAGGGGCCCGTCGCCAGCATGTGCCCACCAGGTTGTAGCCAAACCCAACACGAACACGTACAAAGGAGATATTCTGTGAATAAACACAAACACACGAATGAATCCCTAATATAGTCAACTCATCCAAGAAGATAACCTTGTCAACAACAACGACCTTGTTAAAACATTTCGTAAGAAGTTTTTGAACAAACGAATAAAGCAATAAGGGTGACAGATGGCTACCTGGCAATCCTGTGCAGCAAGCATCGTGGGAACATTTTCATGGAGAACTGCTTCTTCGGGTTATCAGAGACGTGGAGGAGCAAGTTGTACGCCAGCAGGAAACTGGACACCATGATGAAGGTCTGCACTATGGATGTGCCATTCTGCAGGTATGCAGACAGGATGTGGTGACTACTCTGTCAGAGAAAATAATGTTGCTGTCATTGAAAATACTTAAAAATTCCTCTTCTATTTACTATCAAGTATATCGACTATCTATTTCCGAATTTCATCTGTAACTTATTTGTTTTTTATAGTAAAAAGAATTGCTTACTTTCTCGAAGAACCGCGGATTGTAGAGGTATGTGAGATGATATGCCAGAACTGAGTGAGCCAGCATCACCAGCACCAGCGTCAGCGCTCTGCAACACACAGCGGACCTCATTACAGCCATTGTTCAGGTGAATGAGCACTGACAGGGTCGACTAGGTACTACAGATATAATTAAACTTAATCACTTAAACTTAATAAATTACTCCTTCTGGAAGTTATGGTATGGCGGTGCAGTGACAAAGCGAATATAGTAATGAATAATGTTATACTGACTTCATCCCTTGTATAGGCTTCAGAGCTGACAACCTGGTATCCCCTCCTTCGCTATGGTCTGCCGTCAGCCGTCGCCAGTTGTCCACCACTGACCAGGCCATCAGCTGCTTGATCACTATAGAGGACGAATAGAACATTGGCGTTAAATACACATCACACTCATTGAATAAGTTCGGGTTAAAATAGAAGTCGATTAAACTAACTAATTCACTTACAAGTGCCGTCCGTGCTTGCCATCAGATGGTACGCCGTGCCCACGACATTGGCCAGCAGGAGCATTCCTGCCACGTACAAGAAAGTGAGGTCCCACTGGTCCAACGAGCGCGTATGTCCAGCTGTCCTGCAGTACTGCAGCTGCGTCAGGTTAGTCTCCAAGCCGTACTGGTCACGGGTCAGTTTGTTCACGCATGCGCTGAATTGTGCTCTTGGAGAAGGATCGTGGAAGTGAACACATGATGATGGTAAGCACAGCCCTCGGTGTATGCGTGTGTGGTTGAACCGGTATCTGTCGGTAGACACATGCTGGAACATATTGAATAGGACGTTAGTTTCGCGACTCACTCAACAGAAGAGAACAATTTTTTGGTTGTTGTTAAAGTACTGATTAGTATTACCAACACTGCACTATTTATAACGAAATCATGATAATTTCTGCTCTAGGTGTTATAACAGGTGGCATCTACCTGTATAACGTTGTAGAGCCGATCGTTCTGGTAAGGCATGAGGTCGAATGTCCCGAGGCAGTACATCCCCTCTTTCGCCGCACACTCCTCCCAGTTGTCCAGGTGGAACAGCCTCGGCAGCTCGTAGTACTCTTCATCTGTAGCACACCACGCACGCCAGGAGGTTGTATTGTAAGCCATCATCATTAGCATCAGGTGGAAAAAATTGTACAGAAAAAGACATTATTCCTTACATATTAGGGATCACAGTTACGTCACTGAATTTTTTGAGGATGCTCCCTATCCCTCAGAGATAAGTCGCTGTTTTAGGTCAAGCCTGTATAGTGTGTTCAAATTCGTCAACACTTTTGTTACAAGTTTAATATTTTCGAGAGTAGGTGTTAATGAGCTAGCAGCTAGCACTTCTAGTACTTCTAGCTAGTATAAAATGCGTCTTTTTTTAGAATTTTTATTTATAGCTAGATAATTATGTATAAAGGCTTTGCCAAAACACAGTGGTAATCGCTACCAGACAAAAAAA